AGGGAGCCCGATGCGGGACTTGATCCTGGGACTCCAGGATCATGACCTGAGCCGAAGGCAGTCGCTTAACCAACTGAGCCACCCAGGCGCCCTAGGATCATATTTTAATCATGAGTTCACAACTTAAAGATTTTAAAAAATGCGAGACTAAAAGTGAAAAGAAGTACCAATTTGCAGTTACAAGTGGGGCTGCCTTTCATCTCTAGGTGTGGATATTATCACCTTGTGTTTATTAACCTAATACTGTTTAATTTTCCAGTGCTAAAGAACTTACCTTGACATTCTTGTTTGTCAAGGGTTGTACTGGTTGGTGCAATGCTCTAAAAAGTTAGCTTATAAAATGTAACACTTTGGCTGTTTCTCTACTCTAGGCATTGAAAGCTGTTAATTATCTGCATAAGTGAACACTTTTTAGAAACTTATCATTCAAAGTTCCAAGGACACGGTAGCTCCTCTCTGTTCCAACCCTGTCCAGTCTCTCTTAATGGAATGGAAGAGAGGTGGTCATACATAGCATATTTCCTTGAAAATGGTTTCATTCCATCAAAAAGAAGTTCCTGCATCAGGCATGCTTGTATTACAGTTCTACAATGCTATGCATGCTTACCCTTCTAGGATTTTTCACAGAATTGTTATATATTACACATATTCTTTTTATTTTAGAAATACATGAATACTTCTGGCTGTCAAGTAGCTGTGACAAATGTATTTTTTTTAAAGATGCTAAAGCATTTTTTTCTCCTCTGGCTTAGAACAATTCAAACATTTAGGCCTACTGGCAGTTTCTGAGTATCAAAGGTTCCTGTACTTTCCACTCCCTGATTTATAATATGAATCTAGAATGTGATTCTTACCCTCATGGGGAATTCTTACAATAATAATGTGCTTGCACAGAGGGAGAGAGAAGCCATGAATTTTGGATAAGTGTATCACCTAACACTTGGACATGACTTCTGTAGACTTACTTCATTTCATTTACTTGTCTCAGGATCTCGTGCTGAGTGTTCACAACAGTATCCAGCTCTTGTTGGGTGATCTGGAGGAAAACAGAAGAACCCAGTTCTGTAGGAACATATGGCGGAGTAGCCTCTCTTTCCTCCATGCGTCCTCCTCCACCAGAGGCTGCCTAAAGGCACACATGCTTATTTGCAAAGCTTACCTGTCCCTGCTGCCCTGGGACTCCTGATCCTCTTTTAGCGATCTCCTCTGTCAAGGAAGAGACGTATCTCCTCTGTTCATCAAGAATCATATCTAACTGTCGGTTCAGCTGCTTGATTTCAAGATGGATACGATTCTGTCCTTCAAAGATTTGTCTCAGCTCGCGGTCTCCTACACTCTCAAATATTTCATCCGCTGAAATGGAAATTGCATATTAAAATGATCAAAATCACCAACACATGTAGTTTTTGAAATACCATAAGTGACTGAGGTATCAACATATACTAAAATTAGAACATCACCAATATGATCTACTCCAGTGGTATGACCTCCTCAATAGGGTACATGCAGATAATCAATTCAATCATGACAACATTACTATTTGTTTTTTGCCATGTCTGGTGGCTGAATACCTATTATAAATTAGTTCTGAATTTTTTTCACCTAAAAATAATTTTCTTTCAAATATACTATATGACTCTATTTATATGAAAAGGCAAAAACTAATCTATGTTACTAGAAATCCGGAATAGTGGTTGCCTCTGTGGAGGGAGGCTGACTTGAAAGAGGCATGAGGGAGCATCTTGGGGTGATAAAAATATTCTACGTATTGACCTGAGTGATGATTAAGTGGGTATACAAATTTGTCAGAATTCATCAAACTACACTTTTAAAATTTGTGCCTTTCACTTAGGTAATAAATTTAACAACGGAGTTGCGAACAGCCGATTTCCCTTTTAAAGCTGATTGTGCTGGAAATTATTTCATTCAAACACTTACTACAATAAGCTTCAGGATATACTCACAAATCATATGTGATATTTAAAGCAAATCCAAGAAGAGAATTAAATTTATTTTTCATTTTTATCTTCATTAAGTCTGATTTATATTATTGATCATTTAGAGAATTACAGGGAGTACAAAAGCTAGCTATGGGCCATATTAAATACAGCTTTGACCACCTGTGCGGGTGGGAACAATCCAGATAAAAGTTAGCAGATAATATAAAGCCACTCTGCTTGGACTTCCCGTGTTTTATTTTTGGCACACAGCACACTTAAGTTCAACACTGGCTTAGACTAATTATTTTACAATTTGCAAATTTTCAAGTCTAGAGTTCTGTTGAGCAGTAAGGGGAGGAGAGCTAGAGAATCATTTCATATTACTTTCACAAGAATTTTGACATTTTTCCAGTATTATCTCTATATTAATAAGGTAATGTGTGCCACTCAAAAGAAAGACATAGACTTTAGATGATTTCATTCCACAAATATTTACTGAGTCTCAACTACTAGGTCAGCATTGGGTTCTTGGTGTTTTTTAGGTGTCGGGGGGCAGGGCAATCAACAGGAAAACAGAATCCCTGTCCTCACAGAGCCTGCACTTCAGGGGATCACTGTTCATCCACATCACCCAGTACCACCCACTGCATGCTTTCCTAAGCCACACCCTTACTGGTAGAAACATCAACCTCCAAGCCTTGTGATGGCAGAAGATTTGCTTATAGATTGCTTCTGGAAACAACTTGGATATGCCAGACAAGAGCTCAAGGATGGGATGAATGCATGTGCTACAACCCCTGTGCAGCTCTGAGCACAGCTTCCTCCAACTCACCAGGATGCCCCTGAAGGTCAGGGTGGCCCTTCTGGAATTCCTCCTTTTTTTTATCCAATTCTTGTTGAAAGTGCTCAAATTCTTCCTGATACTTTTCTTTTTCTTTTTCTGAAATTTCTTTATCTGGGGTAGGCTTTTTTTGAATTTAGGAATAGATCATTAAAAAAAATTAAAAAGATAAAAATTAAAAATTAAAAAATAATAAACCTCAATATACTTTCTTCCCCTTCATTTGAACTACTCAACCACTAGTTGAAAGGTTAACATAAAAATGTTATTTATTTAAATCAAAACCATTTTACTCTTGCTACTAATAATTACAACAAAACAATAACACTAGCAACTACCATTTATTGAATTCACTGTCCTATTTAATGCTCATGATACCATGAGCTGGCCAGTCCCAATGTCTCAGTTTTACCAGTGAAGAAACGGAGTGGTACAGAGGTTAAGTCACTTTTTTTTTTTTTATTTATTTATTTATTTATTTATTTGAGACAGAGAGAATGAGAGACAGAGAGCATGAGAGGGAGGAGGGTCAGAGGGAGAAGCAGACTCCCTGCCGAGCAGGGAGCCCGATGCGGGACTCGATCCCGGGACTCCAGGATCATGACCTGAGCCGAAGGCAGTCGCTTAACCAACTGAGCCACCCAGGCGCCCAGGTTAAGTCACTTTTACAAGATCAAACAGCAATAACAGGCAGAAACAAGACCCAAATCTAAGTTGGGCTTCCCAAGTTTTCAGCTACAGGGAGATACCAATAAACTGAAAATAAACTTTTTGGAAAAAAAAAAAAAAAAAGTGTATACTTACCAGCTCTTTCCCAGGCTCAGTCAATTGGAAAGTCAGAAAAGAAAGGACATCATGGTCATCTACAAATTAAAAAAAAAAAAAAAAATCTGAAAAAGTTCTGTAACAGATTTTTATGATTGTAAAGTTACTTTAGAGAGATCTATTGCTTTAAAAATAATCAATATGAAAAATAAAAATCAGCTCTCATCTGATAAAGGCAATGGTGCTCTGTGAGCTTAGAGATAAAAATTCACCAGAAAGATGTACATCAGAGATAAACTAAAATTCACTTTCTTTTATCCTAAACCAGAATATTTAACAGTGTTTAACATATAACAGATGTTTAATAAATAAGAGGAAAAAGGATAATAATAAATAAGGGATAAGGGAATAAACAAACAAGGGGTCAAAACAAGCCCAAACTCCTAAATCTGACACCAAGATCTTGCCATATTTTCCCACAAATCTCCTTCACAGGCTGTGTCCCAGCCAAATGAGACAAAATCCTGTCCTTCATGTATTTCCGTTCCTGTCTCTCAACCCTTCTTACGGTACTTACAATACTTGCCTTACTTTCTTGTTATAAACTTGACATTGCCTTGTGCTGGCTTACTGGGACAGTCCTGACTTATCCACATTGTCCTGGCTTTACTGATAGCATCTTCTTTTATTCTCAAAACATTCCAATTTAGATAATATGACCACCCTATCTATACATCATTCATATCTGTTTCCCTCACACAGCAGATACGAACAATTTTACTTTATTTAAAATCATATTTTAAAAATCAAATTAATTTCAGGCTGCTTAAGCTGAAAACGGACTTAGCAGATCAAACCTCATAATGCTGACCTAAAATACCAATCCTGGCTAGTCACGTCTGCAGAGCAAGAGCAATTAATTCCAACTGGCAACCTCTATGCTTTCTTCCCACTATTACGGAGACTGAGATACGCAGCCAGATGAGAGAGAAAATTGTAACACTTGGTCCAAGTGTGTAAGCTATGTAACTTTTCAGGAGAAGATGTACAGTGTGATAGAGCACTGGACCCAGGAGTCAGAAATCCAAACCAAGTCCTGCCTTGGTTTGGCCATTACTGGCCATGTAATATTTATAATGTACTTTAATCCAAGATTTGGCAAGCTTAACTAAAAATAAGTAAAATGATCTATCCTCTCTCTCCCTCCCTGTGATGTTGTAAGGAACAATTATATAATTGAAAATAATAAAAAATTATACAAAACGTACCATGTAAACACAAGATGATATATATTTTTTTATTTTTATTTATTTTTAAAGATTTTATTTATCTGACAGAGAGAGACACAGCAAGAGAGGGAACACAAGCAGGGGGAGTGGGAGAGGGAGAAGAAGGCTTCCCGCCGAGCAGGGAGCCCGATGAGGGGCTCGATCCCAGGAGCCTGGGACCATGACCTGAGCCGAAGGCAGACGCTTAACGACTGAGCCACCCAGGCGCCCCGATATATATATTTTTAAACACAAGATGGTACTAACGTCGAACGAGAAGTTCATTTATCACCAAATGTGGGGCAAAAATGGTAAATATATCTTGTTAAAACTTTAGTCCCCAATAATATTTCCTCAGGCTACCAAATTCATTTAAATGTGCCGTGACAACTTTCAGGATCCTAAACCACTTGGCAATTAACCTATTATAGCCTTGACCTTAATGTCGACCACCAGTTGTATACAGCCCCAGCCAACTGTATACCTACAGAATATCAGAAGAAAATGAGCAGATTCAAGATACCAAAAGACCAGCTCTGCAGACTATGTAAAGGTTACAGCTCATCTTAAAAGGTTAAAAGTAGGGCGCCTGGGTGGCTCAGATGGTTAAGCTTCTGCCTTCGGCTCAGGTCATGGTCCCAGGGTCCTGGGATCGAGCCCCGCATCGGGCTCCCTGCTCAGTGGGGAGTCTGCTTCTCCCTCTGCCTCTCTTTCTCTCTATCTCTTATGAATAAATAATTAAAATCTTTAAAAAAAAAAGGTTAAAAGTAAATAAGTTTACATATCTCCAAATAGACTATTCCCAATGAAACTCAATACATGAACTTTTAATATTAAAAGATAGCAAGATTTACCTGCAAGACCTCCAGTTGCAGCAGATATTCCAAAATGCCCTTGAGGAGGGATAACCATATTGTCCACTCTGGCGCAAAATTCATAGTCATTTTTATCTGGTGTGAAGCCATTATTGATCATTACCTAAAAAAAGACATACTGCAGCTACAGCTTTTACAAGACATTACAAAATGAATTTCAAATAGTCAATTTATGACTAATTGATCTTTATACTTGGTCTACTAACCGTCAAAAAGCTATCAGTTTTCTCTCACTATTATAAAGGGTAATCCCGTCCATGAAATAACCTCACTTATTTAGCATCATTAAATAAGATATTTCACTTTAAAGTTTTTATCCTACAATGTGTCAAAGGCTTAAAGAGAAACATTTGATAATGTTCCACGAAACTCTTCCTAAAACAGAAGACTCAGGGAACCACAATGACTTCCTTTGAATGGTTCATACAGAAGAGGGACCAGACTCGTTCTGAAACCCCAGTGTCAGAGCTCAAACGAATAGGATGAATTTACAATTTTTACCACAGCTAGTTGAGAATTAAAGATATTAAACAGACTGCTGTGCAAGGAGTAAGCTTCTCTTCATTCAGTTGGGGAGGGGGTGTGACTGGACAGTGGTAAGTTAGCAGAGAGACAACAGAAGTGACAGAAGTCATATTGATACAAAGGCAGAAAATGAAAAAACTAAAAGGACACCTAAGTTTCTTCTCTGCAGAATGTATTTTTGAAGTAATAACCCAAAATGTCTTAAAAAAAAAAAAATCCTGGAACCCCAAGGCAGCAGAGGAACCCAGCAGACACACAGGTACTCTTCTCCTGACCCCAGTTCGGCAGTGGCCCAGCCTTTCACTTCCCACAACCCAACGTAACGGTGGCTGAGCCAGAGGGGAAGCCAGATGAGAGATGTGGCACCAGAGCAGGGCACTTCTATGATTACTTACAGATGCAACTATCACTTGTCAGTGACTGTTAGGATTTAGTCACACAGGTCAAATGATATAGTACAGTGTCCACATTTTTGGCAAGAGAGTAAGACATCTGTCAATATGAAGGGTAAATCTCTATGTAACACAGGATGGAAACACGTGAACTACTACCATTCTTCAAAAAAAATTTTTTTTTTATAAGTAGGCTCCATGTCCAGAGTGGAGCCTGATGCGGGGCTTGAACTCATGACACTGAGATCAAGACCTGAGCTGAGATCAAGAGTCGGACGCTTAACCAACTGAGCCACCTAGACGCCCCTACTACCAATTTTTTCAAACGACCTGCCATTTAGTTAGCTAACATTAATATTCTGTTCCCTCTGATCAGTAATGCTCCGATTTCAGTTTACATCATTTATGAATGGTTCTCCTCTACAGTGTTTTAAATCAGAATCAACAATCAGTAAGACATTTGTCTTTGAGAGATAAAACACAAAAGGTATTAAGTTAATCACACCCTAATTCTAACACTAAAAATTTTCAACTATTCCAATACTTTTTCCTTGAACCTGAACAAACTGAAAATCCATTAGGAGTCTTTACTGTCTAGTACTAATTCTTTTATTTGTTTAAAGATTTTATTTATTTGACAGAGAGAGAGTGAGAGAACACACAAGCAGGGGGAGCGGCAGGCAGAGGGAGAGGGAGAAGTAGACTCCCTGGTGAGCAGGGAGCCCAATGAGGGGCTGCATCCCAGGACCCCAGGATCATGACCTGAGCCGAAGGCAGACGCTTAACCGACTGAGCCACCCAGGCATCCCAGGATATACCCACTTTAAGTACTACCCTGAACTCAATTTGTCTATATAACTAAACTCATTACCAACTCTCAACCTTCCCACTCCTCACTCAAACTCAAAAAGGTGCTGCTTCTTGGCTTAGTTGTACAACTGGCCAGAAATCCAGGAACTATCTTTGACTCCCCCACTGTACCTACCGTCATCCCCAAGCACAGTCTCTCCTCCTAATCACCTCTCCTCCCTTCTCTCCCCTGGCTCAGACCGCAAGTGGAGTCTTACAGGGAAGATGGCTCTCGGTTCAAATCACAGCTGTGTTACTTATGTGGTATGATACTAAGTTACTTAAAATGTCCCATATCCCATTTCCCCGTGTGTAAGATGGGGATGCCTGCCCCATAGGGCTATTGGAAAAAATAAGTGAGAAACTGCACTTAAAGTACAGAGCACCGGGCATGGCCCATTACGTATAGAGTCTCCTTTCACAAATACCATTATAAGAACATGGCTGCCTAAGTCATCTACCCAAACTACAAACAGGATCATTTCACTTTCCTGCTTAAAACTTTCAACAGTTCCTTATAGGATAAACTACCCGAGGCCTGTGTGACTTGCCACCACCAACCTTTCAACCCCACTCCCCAGTCTCCTCTATCCTCCAGCCATTCCAAATCATGTGCCTTTCCCAAATCTTTCACCAGTCCCTGTGCCTGTTTTCTCTACCTTGAATATGCATCCCATCCCGGAAATCTCCACTTCCCCTTCCTGGTGCGGCTCAGCTCTGAGAAACTGTTCCTGACCTTCCCCACGCCCACTTGCAGTTACAAGATTCTAACCCCTTGATTCCTTAATGGTATGTGTGCTGTGAAACGTCTTCCACCTAGCACAGTAATGTTACACAAGTGTCTCCCCTCTACTAGACTACAAGCTCTTTGGAGAAAATGACCTCTTTTTTTTTTTTTTAAAGATTTTATTTATTTGACAGAGAGAGACATAGCGAGAGCAGGAACACAAGCAGGGGGAGTGGGAGAGGAAGAAGCAGGCTTCCTGGCGAGCAGGGAGCCCGATGTGGGGCTCGATCCCAGGACCCTGGGATCATGACCTGAGCCGAAGGCAGACGCTTAACGACTGAGCCACCCAGGCGCCCTAGAAAATGACCTCTTACTCAGATTCGTATCTGGATGGCTCGGATACGTGTGTAATGTGTGGCATCTAGCAAGTAGGATGCTCAAACATGTACTGACTGAATGCAAACCTACGGGAAAGGTTTTACAACACACGACCACTTAGGCCAAGCTCTGAAGCCACTTCCGTTCTCTCTGAGTAACACTGAGTACATAAACCAATATCCAAACTTACATGCCTTTAATTTCTATCAAAGATTCAGAATGAGAAGTCCTACCAGAATATTTTTCATCTGAGTATCTCTAAGTGCATGTTACTTACCATCAGTGTTTTCTGGTAATATGTAATCTTTGCGCGGACAGGATAGGGTTTATTACGAAAGTCTCTCTGGCAACTTGCTAAAGCTTGATTAATACCATCACTGTAGTACGAAGAAAGGGAAAACAAACAAAAAACGTAAGAAAGCTTCTCAATATCTGAAAACTCACTATTTAAAATGATCAGCGTCCAGAAAGATAAAATAATATCAAGTTATGACAGTCTTGGGATATTTGAAGTTACTTATTCAGAAGACACAAAGTTTTTCGTGTTTGTTTTTTTTAAAATTTAATTATGTTAGTCACCATACAAGACATCATTAGTTTTGTTTTTTTTTTTTTTTGCGAGAGAGAGAATGAGAGAGAGCACGAGAGGGAGGAGGGTCAGAGGGAGAAGCAGACTCCCTGCTGAGCAGGGAGCCCGATGTGGGACTCGATCCTGGGACTCCAGGATCATGACCTGAGCCGAAGGCAGTCGCTTAACCAACTGAGCCACCCAGGCGCCCAAGACATCATTAGTTTTTGATGTAATGTTCCATGATTCATTGTTTTCATATAACACCCAGTGCTCCTTGCAGTACGTGCCCTCCTTAATACCCATCACCGGGCTAACCCATCCCCCCACCCTCCTCCCCTCTAAAACCCTCAGTTTGTTTCTCAGAGTCCACAGTCTCTCATGGTTCATCTCTCCCTCCAATTCCCCCCCCTTCATTTTTCCCTTCCTTCTCCTAATGTCCTCCATGCTATTCCTTATGTTCCACAAATAAGTGAAACCATATGATAATTGACTTTCTCTGCTTGACTTATTTCACTTAGCATAATCTCCTCCAGTCCCATCCATGTTGATGTAAAAGTTGGGTATTCATCCTTTCTGATGGCTGAGTAATATTCCATTGTATATATGGACCACATCTTTTTTATCCATTCATCTCTTGAAGGGCATCTTGGCTCTTTCCACACTGGCTATTGCGGACATTGCTGCTATGAACATTGGGGTGCATATGGCCCTTCTTTTCACTACATCTGTCTTTGGGGTAAATACCCAGTAGTGCAATTGCTGGGTCACAGGGTAGCTCTATTTTTAATTTTCTGAGGCACCTCCACACTGTTTTCCCAAGTGGCTGTACCAACTTGCATTTCCACCAACAGTGTAAGAGGGTTCCTCTTTCTCCACAACCTCTCCAACATTTGTTGTTTCTTGCCTTGTCAATTTTTGCCACTCTAACTGGTGTAAGGTGGTAACTCAGTGTGGTTTTGATTTGAATTTCTCTGATGGTTAATGATGATGAACATTTTTTCATGTGTCTGTTTGCCATTTGTATGCAGAAGACACAAAGTTAATGCACAAGTTTTCTGTGATTCCTGTCAGAACTCGTGGATAACGTCAGAAGCCAAAGCTACCATGTGCCGACAGCAAGAGGAAAGTTCTACTCCTCTACCTGAGAGAAGGACAAAATAGTCCTTTATGTCAGGGCAGAATCGAAATACATATGCAGCTTTTAAAAATGCAGATGCCTAGATTCCACCCCAAGTCAACTGAAGCAGACTCACAAGGAGGTTGGCCTTGGCACCTCTGGTTTAAATAGCTCCCACAGGTGGTCATGACAAACTAGGAGGATTAAAAATCACGAAGGTAGGAAACAGTAAACGGAAATGCAGATGACTAATTTTTCTTACAGTTCACTGATTGGCTCAAAGGTAATTCCTCCCAAAACAAACATGTAAAAATAAAAAATGTACATACCTAATTCATACACATTATAAATATACCAGACACTTGGAAATTTTGTAGCCTATTGAGAATCTTTAAATAAAGCAACATGAAGCATGAGTAAGGTGGTGTAAATTGCTCAGCCATTAGTTTGGTCAAGGGTTTCAACTTTATTTTTGAAAGATAAAGATGAAAGAAACATGATATGGCATCATCGAGAACCAGGAACATTTTATAAATCTTTCAAAGTATTATGTAATTTTAGGTTCAATAAAAGAACTCTTTTTTATGTTTGAAATCTGAGATGGTCCACAGAATGAACTTTAAAACAGGACCAAATTAAAATAAGAACTTTCTACCAAGTCACAAAATACATCTCAAGAAAAACAATAATCTTATATCATCTGAAAAATATTCAAATTTGAAACAATATATTTTACAAGGTTTCCAAAAAGAAGCTGCAAATAATATAAAAAGCACACACTTACTTTTGATGGTCATAATGGATTTGTCCATTGTTGCCTATAATTACTATAGCAGGATTATTTTTCTAAAAATAAAAAGAATGTATTTGTTTTAAAAGTCCTTAGGTCAAAGAATTCTAGATCATTCTAGAAGTCCTATAAAGTCTCTTACATCTCTAAAATTCTAGGACTCAAAATTTTAAAATAATAGAAAAGATTTCCACTTATTTAGAAAAAATTAGTAAACTCTTATAATCATTCAAAAGCAATCTTTTTTTTTTTTTTAAAGATTTTATTTATTTGAGAGAGAATGAGAGAGAGTGAGCACATGAGAGGGGGGAGGGTCAGAGGGAGAAGCAGACTCCCCGCCGAGCAGGGAGCCCGATGCGGGACTCGATCCAGGGACTCCAGGATCATGACCTGAGCCGAAGGCAGTCGCCTAACCAACTGAGCCACACAGGTGCCCTCAAAAACAGTCTCTTAACACCTCAATAAAGACTGATGATGTGTCCTGTGTGAATAATCAACTACAACACATATTTGAGGACTCACTATGTGGGACCCAAGGGAGATTAGTAACAGAAGGACTAATAATATACCTCAGCATTCAAGGAGTTATTAAGTTCTCCTTTAAATTGCTAATAATGACCTCTGACAATCAGCAGAGAAACTACCAGCTGAAACAAAGATCATCAATCTTAAGGCTGCTAATGCAGCACAAGTTAGTGTTACTAAATCGCAAGTACATTTTGTTCTGAACTGTTTTAGGCTCTCTTAATGACATCATCAGAGATACTGGTGGATCAAAAAGAGGGATTAACATATGAAAAGGTATTAATATGTGAGCTAGTAGTAGTAATGCATAGGGTATTTTCTTGAAAACAGACTATAATACTAAACAATGCCAGTTTCACTGCCTACCTCTAAATGACTCAGGCTTACGCATCAAAATTACTAAACACATTCGGGCACCGGGGAGGGAGGTCACTGCTAAGTTCTACAGAGTTAGAACTCCATTACGACCTCAAGTTGGTGTATGACAAATCAGGAGCGAAGAGCTTAAATTTCTAAAGTCTCAGTTATATAAAGACTAACCATCATACTTAGGATATAGTTTGGGGATTTCTCAAACTACTAACCTGACAAAAGTGTTAAATAAGCAGTATTTCTCATAGCCTAACTTTAGTTAGCAGATATGCTCAAGTAGGTAATAGTCCTGACAACAAATATACCTTTCCGTCATTGTCGAAAGAATCAAAGAATATTCCAACACCATTCCACATATCAGCTGATCCAAACACAGGACCCTCCAAGCCTTGATTTTCTGTATACCAAACTGCCTGTAAATATAACAAGGGACATTTAGAGGTTAGTGGTATATGCATAGATATACATTTTCTAAGTTAAAGAAGTTATCATACCAGGCCATCAGCTCCAATTCGACCTCTTCCAGTCACTCGAAATGTCACCTCAACTTCCCAGTTCTCAAAGGCTGCTTTTGTCTTTGTCCACACCGATCCTCTTTGGCTTTTTAAAGATGGTGCTATTCGAATTTGATCTGAACTTGGAATAGCATCTAGAACAAAAATCAGGGAAGAAGAGCTTTAAGTTATAATTAGGTAGAACTCAAGGAACCATCACCAAACAGTTCCATATGTCTATAGAGATCTAATTTTAACTCGGTAACCTGTACAATAATTTTGTTAGGAAAAAATTACGTGTTGACAGTTTTAACTTTAAAACTTTAGAGCTTTTGGGGCACCTGAATGGCTCAGTCAGTTAAGCGTCTGCCTTCGGCTCAGGTCATGATCCCAGAGTCCCGGGATCAAGCCCCGGGTCCGGCTCCCTGCTCAGCGGAGAGCCTGCTTCTCCCTCTGCCCCTCATGCCCCTTGTGCTCTGTCTCTCTCTCTCGCTCTCTTCTGTCTCTCAAATAAATAAATAAAATCTTTTTAAAAAAA